CCGCCCTGAGTCCCCTCAGGGAAAAGGGCGGCCTACAAATATTAATAAAATCTCAAAATCTCAAAAATCTCTAAAGAGAAATGAACTTGGCAGGCTGGATTGCTGCCAAGCTGTCGGACTTGCTGCCAAGGTCCTTATCTGTTTGTTTATTTGGCTTTCAGCCACCGAGATTCTGGTCTTGTTATTAAAGGACATTTCATTTTACGCTTGTCTCGGCTTTCGTTACTGGACAGAGGAGGGGGTCAGAACAGGTCAACAAATTCCCAACACAGGCAATCCCATCCACAGCAATGCCCGAAAGCAAAAACCAGAGTTCCAAATTCAGTTTTAAGATGATGATCTGAATCAGAATGTTAACCTTTTTTAAAATTATTATTTTGCTTGGAGATATCTGGCACGTGCTTTCCTAAAATGCTGGGTAACTTGCAAGTTCTTAACAATAGGTAAACATCTCTATTTGTAAGCCTGCTTAATTTTTACCAACTGTTTCACATAAAGGTGCCCAAGACTGTTGTGAAGACAAAAGCACAATTTTTTTTGGTAATGTGCAATGTTGGGATAATCTTCGGAAGTGAACAGATGAGCATAGCAAAATTTCCCAGCACATGGAAATCTCTTCTCTTTTGCATTCCTTTGCAAGATGGCCCAGCATAAAGCAGAGTAGCTAACACGATTAGAACAGATATCAAACTGATTAACTGGTGCTAATTATCAACAAATCACAAGGCTTTTATAATAACAAGACTTAGATCAGTGTTTCTCAACCTTGGCAATTTGAAGATGTCCGGACTTCAATTCCCAGAATTCCCCAGCCAGCATTCGCTGGCTGGGGAATTCTAGGAGTTAAAGTCTGGACATCTTCAATTTACCAAGGTTGAGAAACACTGACTTAGATGAAGGTTTATCCAGTAACACATTCTGGAAGCCTATGTTGAAGATTCCCATCACAAATACTGTTTTTTTTTTTTTTGGGGTGGGGGGGAGGATGTAAATACAACTTTAACATGTGTGAGAGGATCTGTCCTTGTGATTTTTCTTCTTATTTTTTAAAAAGCAAAATATAGTCTTTTTGAGTTCAGGGGATATGGATCTAGAATCTATACTAAGCTGAGCAGGATATAGATTGTATACCTATTACTTTTCTTGTAAAATCAGAATTGTTTTTTATTTTTCTGAAGAAGAATAAAGGTGATAGAATTCCTATCTCTATACAAGTAGTCCTCAACTTATGAACACAACTAAGCCCAATATTTCTGTTGCTAAGTGAAACATTTTAAAGTGAATTTTGTCCCATTTTACGATTTTTCTTGTCCCAGGTAAGTGAACCACTGCAGTTATTAAGTGAAATCTGGATTCCTCGTTGACTTTGCTTGTCAGAAGTTTGTAAAAGGTGAATCACATGATCCTGAAACACCGCAACCATCTTAAATATGAATCTGTTGCCAAGGGTCCAAATTTTGATCACATGACTGGGGATGCTGCAACAACTGTCATAAGTGTGAAAAATAATCATGCCACTTTTATCAGCGCTATTGTAACTTTGAACAATCACTAAATGGACTATTATAAGTCGAGGACTATCTGTACTTGAAAGTTATTCCCCTATCCTTTCATCGAAGTAAACTGCAAAAACAATGGAATAATTTGGGTCTTGTGATCTAAAGTGTCTATTTCCTATTAATGCCTTTTGAATCAGGACTGGAAACATACCTGATTTTCCACCATCCCTCCAGATTCTTCTGGATCACCTCCACAGTAGCTCCTTTGTCCAGGTTTATTTCATCTGGATCCCGAGCAGCATATGGGTAGATCACCATATACTTCTCTATTCAAAGAGAAATATAGCAGTAAAAGAGGGAAAGAGAGAGACAGAAAAAAAGGTAAATAATAATTTGGAAGACATCATTTAAAAAAAAACAGAAATAAACTGAAAATCCATACATTTTAGATAATTTAGCATAGTAAACTGGCCCTTCCAATACAGTGGAATCAATTGATCATTGATATTCCACAATAGAGTCAAATCTACTGAATATGGTTGATTCTGTCCTTTGACCCAAAGGTTGAAGATTTATTGCATTTATATGCTGTCCTATTCCCTGAGGGACTCAGGGCGGCTAACAAACCCAAGGGGGGTGGGTGTGGGGTAAAACAAGAAGGTAATACAACAAACGAAATACAAAGAGAATTTAAAAAGACAATCAACAGTCACACAGTTCGAGGGGGGGCAGGGAACTCGTCAACCCCAGGCCTGCCGGCACAGTCAGGTTTTAACGGCTTTACGGAAAGCCTGGAGGGAGGTGAGGGTACGAATCTCCGCGGGGAGTTCGTTCCAAAGGGCCGGAACAGCCACAGAGAAGGCCCTCCTCCGGGTAGTAGCCAGGTGACATTGGCCAGTAGATGGAATCCGGAGGAGGCCTAATCTGTGGGATCTAATGGGCCTTTGGGAGGTAATTGGCAGCAGGCGGTCTCTCAAGTACCCAGGTCCAATACCATGAAGGGCTCACCAAAGGCTCAACATTACCTTTGAAATACAGATTTTCATAATTTATAATAAAAGTCTAATGCAGTCCCACAATGCCTCCCAAAGAACCTCTGCATTCTTTTTTCTAATTGAAGCAGGAACACAAAAAATGGTTATTTATGGAAACTGGCTATCCAGAAAATAATGTGATGATAGGTTTTTTTTGTTTGACAGATGACCAAACCAGTTCTACATGATCTATTTTTTCATTTATTCCAAGTGTCAGCTGCAAACTACTAGATGCTTCAATACAGATGTCATTTTAGCAATCTTATCAGAACCAATGACAGTTCATTCAAATGAACTATTCATGTGAACAATGGAATAAGAGACATATCTCTTGTAGGCTGAAATGCTATGCAGTTGTGTCATCATTTTCCCTAAGGTATCATGGGAGTAGGTTTGTCATAGCTGCAGTAATTGCTGGCCCATGTTAAATTGCTTTCTTGGGAAATTATTTCTTCTTCCAAAGAACTCACAAATAAATCTTTCAAATAATGCAAAACCTTTCTTTATCTCCATCAACTATTAATGCCCAATTCTTAGGTTATTCTGTAGGAAGTGAATCTGCAAATGGCCTGTTATGCAAATACTAAGGATTGTTTTTAGAGAAGTTCAGATTCAGTTCAAAGATAGTTTACTGTAAAACTCTAAAAGGGAAAATGAAGGACCAGTTACGCTAAAGTACAAGAACATCACATCAATAGAGAAAGGCCACTTCTCCTTTACAAAGTGGAGGAAAGATGATCTCATAACGAACACCCATAGAGTATATAATATAAGCCTTACAAATGATGTCAGCTAACATCTCTAAAAGACCTTACTATCTGTGCTGAGTGCTTCTCAACATCTCACATTGCTTTCCCATTTCTACATGTGTCCAGCGTATAGTTTGGAATCAATTCAACAGAAATCATTTTAATACAGACAAGCCATTGGCAGCAGACTCTGACATTTCTACTTGCGATGCTGTTAACAGATCAGGGTATTTTATGATAGAACTTCAACTGCTATTTTAGAGGTAAGCATTTTGGATTTGCAAGATTTACATGTTCAGCAGAAACAAATTGTTCCCACCCAGATGCATTGGTTTCACTTCCCATCAGCCAGAGTTAACATGGCTAATGCCAATAGACTGTGAAAGAGATGATTTAAAATGTCAGGATGGCATACAATTCCTTACTGAATACCGCATCACAGGAAAACTATTTAGGAAGAAAATGAAAAAGCATATATTGTTCTAATTGGGAAACAGTTCAGTCACTGTAATTTTTATAACCCTGCTCCTTTCTTTTCAATAAACCTTGATAAAGAAAATTTGAGAAGAAATACGTGTGCAATCATTTTTTTAAAATTTTAGGCAATGGCCAAAGTGCGTGACAGGTAACTATGGGCAATTGTTTTAGTTGCAGGTTGAAAAGAATTTAGAAGCCCTTCAATAGAGTGTTAGCAAAAATGATCATTTGAACACAAACAAATCTTACTACAGTGACAATTATTTGATACTTTGAAGTGCCCCACATATAGAACTACTGCCACATCCAGTAGTTTTATATGGACCTTTTCCTCTTTCTAGATCTATTGTGAAATATATTCAATGGTCTGTAAAAAAAAAGTCAATTTAAGGTCATAATAAACGTGACTTTAAATGCATCTTTACATTTAAAAAAACATTTCGAATTATAATAGCTTTGGGGGAATGGGATAGGGTGAGATAGAGTGGGGGAAATGATGCTGATAACTTTTAAGGCTGCAACAAGCATTGCAATATGTGAGAATTTGCCTTCTCCCAAGGATCCTATGATGTCTGTTGCAGTCCCAGTAATTAAGTGGCTGATGGATTGGCATTTAACATGCAGATTTTTTTTTAAAAAAAGATAAAAATGCATTAAACTTTGGTTAGGATCAAATAAAATACAATATACCCAAGAGTAGAAATTGTCATAATCAGGGACTCAAATAGTTTCAAGGGAATGGAAAGGAAGATACACATAGACAAGTGTAAGCAGATTTAACAGTTACAATAAGCAATGTATTAAGGAAATAGACACTCTGGATATCAATAAGAAACAAATTGCATGCAACAACAGGCCACAGTGGACAGCACATGCAAACATAGAGAAAGATAGTCCAAAGCACAGGAGAAAGCACAAAGACATCTCCACAACATCCACCTTGACCCCATCCACTGGTGTACAAGTCCCCAAGAGTCCGACGGCGACCCACATGTCTGGGAAGAGACCAGTATCTCCATGAGACTGAGATGAGCATGTTGGGGAAGCAGGAAAGGCACAAAACAGGATATGAGGAGGGGAAAGTTTACCTTTTTAAAAAGAAGATTGAATGCTATAATAAGGTTAACAATGGCATGATCCACATACCACACTAAGCAATGATTTAACTATGATTTACCTAATACATCTCAGTTAACATACAAGGTGGTTTAGAGTATATATATACTTCTTGTTTCCTCCCAGGTATATGGCAGAGACTTGAGCAATTTGATTTAAAAGGGTGCACTAAAATGCATTTCGGAGGTTTTTTTAAATTTAAAACAATAATTAAAGTAAAACTTTAGTTTTACCCATCCTCAATGCAACTGATCTTGTAGTCAGCAAATCAAACTTCCACTGCAATTTCTAACATTTGCATCACTTTAATAAGTTCTGTTATTAGGACTTTACTCCCTTATTCCTTAATAGAATAAACTCCTATTCACTGCTGAATTTTCTCAACAAAAGATGCCCTCCTCCATATCAGTCCATTAAAAAAAGTTGTCACTCAATTCATAATTCACGTTCACATGCATTCTTCATGAAAATATGGGTTACTTTAAAAATTGTCTTCAAAAGCACTTTTAAAAAACTTTATATTCAAAGTATCTATGGAGATTTTCAGTCATCCAGGTCATGGTTACCCCAAAGGTGCTTTTTTCAAGAGACACCTGGACTTTCTAGGGCTTTTTTTTGAAGACATTTCGCTTCTCATTCCAAGAAGCTTCTTCAGCTCTGACTCAATGGTAGGGAAGGGAAAAATTTATCTTCCTTGCAGACAGCCAGTCATTTGCATTCTTTTTAGAGAGTCGTTGAGGCCACTTGGAGTTTTTTCTGTGTTTTCAGAGTTACCCGAGTATAACTATTGTTCAGATTCTATGCCCTGGGATAAGCATGAACTATTCATTTTATTATTTGTTTTCTGGAATTCACGCGAGCATTAATAAAGCTAGTCCTTGACTTACAACATTTGTTTAGTGACTGTTCAAAGTTACTACGTCACTAAAAAAGTGATTTATGATCATTTTTTACTTACAACCGTTGCAGCATCCCCATGATCAAAATTCAGATGCTTGGCAACTGACTCACATTTACGATGGTTGCAGTGTCCTAGGGCCAGGTGATCACCTTTCGTGTCCTTCTGACAAGCAAAGTCAATCGGGAGGCCAGATTTGCTTAACAACCATATTACTTAATTTAACAAGTGCAGGGATTTGCTTAACAATGGTGGCAAGAAAAGTTGCAAAATTGGGCAAAACTCACTTAACAAATGTCTCACTTAGCAACATAAATTTTGGGCTCAATTGTGGTTGTAAGTCAAGGTCTACCTGTATAGAGGCTGGGCTTTCTATGCCTGGCATGACTTTTGAATGGAAAAGCACTTGAGTGCGAAAGCTTATAAAGAAGGAGCCCCAAACAAACCAGTCTCCTCTGTCAAAAATATCAAACTAAATGATGTCAATCTTCATGAGAACTTGCTATGGGCAAAAAACCCCACCATATAAGGGAGAGTACCCTTGGAAGTACTCTCTTGGCACTTAAGTATTTAGTGTATTTCCTCTCTGAACATTATCCTGAATATTTTATGTGGGCTCCAAGCCCCCCGCCCCCCAAAAAAACCTATAATACGAAACAATTTGGGGCTAATCTGAAAGTATCTTGATCTACTCCCACCTTCTTCAGTTTGCATTGAAAATTCATCCTGGGCACCATCCTGGACTTCTAGGCATGTTGCGGGAACCCATCCTTGTTCTTCCAATGTACTTACAAACCACCAGCCTAAACATAAGGAAAAGAAGAGTTAAGTGGAGAGTCACAATCCATTCTAGAGAGGATTATGCATCATGGAATAATGCATCATGGAATGTTCCATCCCAATCCTATACCAATCATGGATCACATCAGTCTGTGGTCTTACTCCTAGTTAAGAAAATGAGAGGCATGCTGAGGTCCCTTGGAATTAGGCGATCAATACTGCACTACCCTTCCGCATACGACTTTTCTCCTTACAAACAAAATCCTGTTAATGTAGTGAAAATAAAAGTAGGCACTCAAAGGCATGCTGACATGCTGTGTGCTTCATTTCACTTTCCCCCACTTTTAATTGCTGCCTATTAGAACTATTGTTATGCTCTTGTAGAAATGATAAAAAGTGTCACTTTTTTGTACCATTCAATTTCAATCTACTAAAGGAGGTTTAAATTTGTCTCTTCAGAATACAAAGCGCAGGATTGCTGTCCCAAGCAATATTGCCGCATTTGATGCTGAAGCAGTGAATAACTTCCATGAAAATAAACAAAAAGTTGTGGAAAATCTAGTCAAATTCTATTGGTAGTCCTCGATTTACAACCATTTGTTTATCAATTGTTACGATGTTACTGAAAGAAGTGACTTAAGACCAATTACTTCCAGTCGTTGCAGGATCCCCACAGTCCCATGATCAAAACTCAAGCACTTGGCAACCAACATGTATCTATGACAGTTGCAGCACGCCGTGGTCATGTGATCACCATTTGCAACTTCCTCAGTCAATTTCCCATAAGCAAAGTCTCTATAAGGGAAGCTGGATTTGCTTAATGATCGCACGATTGACTTAACAACTGCCAAGATTCACTTAACTGTCACAAAAAAATTCATAAAATTGGATGTGACTCACTTAACAAATGACTGGCTTAGCAACTGAAATGCTTGCCTTTATTGTGATTATAAGAGCCGTGGTGGTGCAGTGATTAGACTGCAGTATTGCGGGCTAATTCTACCAAATGCCAGCAATTCAATCCTGACCAGCTCAAGGTTGACTCAACCTTCCATTTTTCTGAGGTCAGTAAAATGAGACCCCAAATTGTTGGGGGCAATATGCTGACTGTGAAAACTGCTTAGAGAGAGCTGTAAAGTGATGTATAAGTCTAAGTGCTATTGCTATTCCTATCATAAGTAGGCGGCTACCTATTTTTCCATGGCCTTTCACTGAATTGAGAAAGTATGTTGAGGAAGCATTATGAAATGTTGGAAATAGTTTTCTTTCTGTAGATTTTCTTATATTTCTTTATGCTTGAATAATAACTCCAATTTAATTCATACAGCAATCCATTTATTGTGTTCTTCCTATGTGAATTCATAATTCAAACTCTACTCAGAGTGGATATTTAAATGACTGAGTGAAAAACTAGGAAGTCATATCAAATCTGCACAGCATTAAAGCAATACAAGATTAGTAATTTACATAAAAGCTATTAAAATAGAGAGTAATATGTTTTGTTATAGGATTCTTTTTGCCAGCAAAATAATGTATTCAAAGTTTCCCTATGTTAAAACACAAATCCAAAATAACTTTCAGAGCCCATTCTTTATTTGACTTAAACAGGCAAAACAAGTGTTACTGTTTATTTTTTCTGAAAAACAAAGTACATCCAAATCCAGACACAGATGAATGGTGGCTGAATTGTGATAATTTTAGAGGAAGCATTTCACACACACACAAAATAGCTGGGAATAAAATCTTTTTATTTAACTAATATAGAAATTTCAAAATTGAAATTTCTAGGGTTCTAGATAGTGTGTCTCCAAATTTAGAAATGTAGACAGGGGTTTGTGAAATGGAGCTAGGATAAACCTTACTAAGTTGCTTTCAAACATGCAGGCCATCCCTTTGCCTAAATGTAACCTCATTAGAGGCAATGGCTCGGTGGCTAAAATGTTGAGCTTATCGATTAGAAAGGTTGGCAGTTCGGTGGTTTGAATTCCTAGTGCTGCATAACGGAATGAGCTCCTGCTACTTGTCCCAGCTTCTGCCAATCCAGCAGTTCGAAAGCATGTAAAATGCAAGTAGAAAAATAGGAACCACCTTTGGCTAGAAGGTAACTGTGTTCCGTGCACCTTCGGCATTTAGTCATGCTGGCCACATGACCACGGAGACATCTTTGGACAGTATTTGCTCTTCGGCTTTGAAACGGAGATGAGCACCACCCCCTAGAGTCGGGAATGACTGCCACATATGTGCGAGGGGAACCTTTACCTTTACTTCATTAGAACACATTTAGGCAAAGTATATTAGGAAATTATAAAAAACAAGAGATCCTTTTTTATAAATTGTTTTTTCTGACTCCTCTATATCCCAGATCAGTACCTTACCAGATTCATTCTTCTCAATTATGTCTACAACTTGGCCAGCACACAAACTAATTTCAGAGCTCTCTTGCTTCTGGTAATCAGCCACCACCACATATTGTTCCAGCACCATGGGATCAACAGATGACAAATCTCCAGCTATATTGTAGGAAACAAGAAAGCATAATTGGTCATTGATGTAATATATTGAAAAAATAGTTATTTTCAAGATAGAGAGATAGATAGATAGATAGATAGATAGATAGATAGATAGATAGATAGATAGATAGATAGATAGATAGATGATAGATAGATATAGACATAGATAGATAGATGATAAATAGATAGATAGATAGATAGATAGATAGATAGATAGATAGATAGATAGATAGATAGATAGAGATATCAATATCGATATCGGTATTTAGCTATTTAGCTATTTAGCTATTTAGCTATTTAGCTATTTAGCTATTTAGCTATTTAGCTATTTAGCTATTTAGCTATTTAGCTATTTAGCTATTTAGCTATATCTATATCTATAGATAGATAGATAGATAGATAGATAGATAGATAGATAGATAGATAGATAGATAGATAGATAGATGATAGACACACACACACACACACACACACACACACACACACACCAGAAAACTTGCATCTTAGAATCCAGTAGGGATTATATAAAGTAGAGGAGGCAAGACAACAATTGAAATGTGTGAATAAATCTTTCTAACTGAATGCCCAAGTTTTCAGTTGCAGAATTAATTCCTCTGTGTGTGTGTGTGTGTGTGTGTGTGTGTGTGTGTGTGTGTGTGTGTGTGTCTCATTTCAATTGGATTATAGTAGACATCTCTTTTGGTGGAATTCACAATATTTCTAAATACCGCTTAACTTCAGTTATAATTACAGTGTGGAGAGGTTGTGTGCTCACGTTTGTTGATACTTCCCACTTATTGTGGGTATTTAGTACAGCACAAATCCTTTTTCTCCCTGACCTTCAGGAACAGCCTCAGGTTTCGGTGATTTAATAATCAGAAATGTGTTGATCGGTCAGTACATTATTAATCAAGAAAAACAATGAATAAAACCAGAACAAAAACTAGAGAACCAGACTGAGACACTAACTCTGACTCATATCATACCGTAAAATGGATATATAAGCAGGAAAAAAGGAAGATTTTCTTTTTACTTAAAAGCAGAAATCTGATTTCTGAAAACCTTCCATTGACTCAAAGGTTTGCTGAATTAGTTGGAGTACAAATTAGGCTGGGAAAAAATCAATGAAAACATCCAAAGTCATTAAGTGTATTAGCTAAAATGAAGAATTTATCAAAGTGAGTTTAAAAATAGAATGAGTTTTCAAGTGTATGTAATAACAGGATATTTCCAATGTAGTTAAACTGATTTGGATACCTCATTTTCAACAGAAACATCTGTATTGATTGGAGAGGAGGATAACTCTTGCCTTACATTGGGTTTGTGTACCCTAAATGCAACTATTTGATTTCATTTCCTGTGATCACTCCATCTGGCCCAGCAACAGCAGAGATCTGTATTTCCGGAGGATGTGGTGTAAAGCCACAAGCACCACAACTCTTTAAAAATGAAGCTAGATTTTCCAATTAAGCACATAGCTTAGAACTTAAAATAACAGAGTTGGAAGAGACCTTGGAGGTCTTCTGGTCTACCCCGTTTCCCTGAAAACAAGACCTCCCCAGATAATAAGTCCAATCGGGCATTTGAGCACATGTGTTAAAATAAGCTCTCTCATGAAAATAAGCTCTCCCTGAAAATGTTAAAACACAGCATCAGCCATGAAGTGACCACATTTGCTGGCTCCTGCACCTCAACAATAATAAGACCTCCCCAAAAATAAGGTCAAATGCTTATTTTGGGGGTCAAAAGAAAATAAGACGCTTATTTTCGGGAAAACATGGTAATCCCCCATTTGAGCAGGAGAACCTATACCATTCCAAATAAATGGCTATCCGGTATCTTCTTAACCTCCAGTGATGGAGCACCCACAACTTTTGGAGACAAGATGTTCCACCGATTAAGCGTTCTCACTGTCAGGAAATTTATCTTTATTTCTAGATTGAATCTCTCTGACAATCTACCATATGCTACTTCTTATTCTGCCCTCATGTGCTTTGGAGAATAGGTTGATCCCCTCTTTTCTGTGACAGCCCCTGAAATATTGGAAGACCTCTGCCATGTCGCCATAATCCTTCTCTTTGTTACACTAGACATACTAAGTAAAGAAAACTAAGAAAAGCTCTTCCTTTACATACCAAATTGTCAACCTAACTACCATCCGCGGGGAGACCCAGAGGATAATGTAACCAAAAACTCATAAGGCCTAGAAAATATTATTCTTTAACATTATCATGTTAAAGAAGGAAAGTTTCAATAGCACATTTGCAAAAATCCAGGATCTGGAAATTCAGAACCACTAAGGGGCAGCAGAGTTACCAGAAACCAAAAAAACTTTTCCTTTTTCAATCTTAGATGAGAAAAGCTGGCTGAGTTACATTAATAAGAGGATATTGCACAAGTATTTTTCTTGTCAAATAGGACCTTTATACAGCAAGAAATTCAGGTGAAATAAAGCAGAAGTCTGTGATCATGGATTCCTTGGCAGCCCAATCCTATGCACAATGTTAAATCCCAGTTTCAGCTAGATTTTATTCCCAGATGAGGGTATTAGGTGTGACAATACTTTTGAAAGCAATGCTTGTCCTGACTACAAATGTGTATTCCGAATATTTGGTTCCTTTTAGAAGTATATTTACTACCTATTTAATATTAAACATGCTTGATTTTAGCAGTAAGCAGCCCTTGCTTTAAGGGGAAGGAAATGCCCTTTATTCAAAACATGCTTGAGGAATAGGTTTATTTATACATTAAATTTATATGCTGCCTATCTCACTGCTGCAGTGTCTTTGGGTGGCTTACAAAGTGATAAAAAGGTTAAAACAAAGAAAATATGAAACGGTTAAAGTGAAAATATGAAATGAGAAACTAAAAACCAAGAGAATAGACAATGTAAGGGCAAGGATTCTTCTCTCTGCCTCATCTGCCAGTCCCCAGCATAGATTGCCCCACCATCCAATAGAGCCAGATTTTAAAGCTCTTCTGGAAGGCCAAGAATGTGGGGGCCAACCTCAACTCCAGTGGGAGAATGTTCCAAACGGTGGAGACTACAGCTGAAGGCTCTTCTCCTGGACCCTGCCAACTAAACTTCTTTGGTAGGTGGGATCCGAAGTAGGTCTTTTCTGCTGAAGCAAGTGGGACGTGCAAACCCCAGTTTGCTGGTTAGAAATAATTTCTGTGTATGTCTCTTAAAAAGTTGGCATTGTTTACATATTTTGTTTGGCCACTCTAGTGACTATATCATCTGCAGCACTTCTGTACCGATATAACAATGATGAAGACAGATTTTAACTTACATCGATAAAATCTGTGTGTAATTATGAAGGTGGAATACATTATTCCGGGGGGAAACAGCTTGGGATTGAGGAGGACTTCTGCAGGTAACATCTTCCAGTAAAGAAGAAGTATGAATGCTGCTTCTCCCTCAGTGAGATCCCGTATACAATTTCTAGAGGATTATATGATATAAGTGAAATGAAGACATATAGAAATGAGCCATGGTTAAAGTGCAGTATTGCACTTGCAGGCAAACTCTGCCCGTAGCCTGGAGTTCGAGCTGGATGGGCAGGGTCAAGGTTGACTCAGCCTTCGATCCTTCCAAGGTCAGTAAAATGAGGACCCACCCAGATTGTTGGAGATAATATGCAAAACAATTCTTCTACATTGTCAACTACCTAGAAAGTGATGTAAAGTGCTATGGAGCACAATATATAAACCTAAAAGCTATTGGCACTGCTTTGCTATAGAAAATTATGTAAGTTTAAGGTCTTTGCAAATTTCAGTGTCCATGACAGTCAGGGACAAAAGATTCTGATCTAAAAGACTATTCTAAGGAAAGAAATAGTTTTTGTGCAAATAAGAAAAAGCAATGAAGGCAACAAAAACAAGCCAGATTCTCCAGCTGATGCAATAAATTGGCTTTGAATCCAATATATGGCAAAGCACATCAATGCTATGAAGAAAATTTATCAGAGACATCACTATGAAACCAGCAGCAAGAAAAGACAAGAATATTGTGTAGAAAGAATAGCCTAATTGTGCAGTACAATTATGGCTGCACCACTCTCACTTGTACATGACTGCATGATCAGCCCTGGGAAGATCTATAGTTAAATACATCTTCCCAGGAACATAAATGTAGGCTTTGAAAATAAGAGATCATTTCTCTTATTGGTTGCTCAGTATATTCTCAGGTGTATTCCAAATATGACTGGGAGTCCTGTTGGTTGGAAATTGTCCAACAACGCTGGATATCATCAAGATGGAAGCTATGAGATTCTACTATCATGGGTCTATGACCGTGATGGAGAACCTATGACACGCGTGCCACAGGTGGCACACGGAGCCGTATCTGCCGGCACGTGAGTCGTCAACTCCAGCACACAGGTGCGCACCAGCCAACTGATTTTCAGCCTTCCGGAGAGCCAGGGAAAGCTGTTTTCAACCTCCCCAGGCGTCAGGAAAGCCTCTGGAGCCTGGGGAGGGCAAAAAAGCAGGCCCAATGAGCCTACCGGAAGTTTGGAAACAGATCATTTCCAAACTTCTGGTAGGTCAGTTGGGTCTGTTTTTTGCCCTCCCCAGGCTCCGGAGGCTTTCCCGGAGCCTGGGGAGGGCAAAAATGGCTTCCCCCAGTGCCCTGAAGGAAATACCAACCTCAGCTTCGAAGTGAGCAATGTGGTGTGCGTGGGGAACAACATGAGTGGGTTGGGGGGCTGTGCGCGCATGCACGTGAGGACAGCGCTTTGCATTATGGGTGCCAGCACACACGTGCGCTATCGCACAAGCACACTCGCATTTTTGGCACCCAACAACAAAAAAGGTTAGCCATTCCTGGTCTATGATACTGAAGGCGAGGAGTGCAGAGGCATAGTTTCTTCTAATTAGTGTCCTGTCTCTGAAAGATAAATGGAGGAAACTGCCACAAAGAGACAAGTCTAATGTCCAGAACAATGATGACTGGAGGGTCCATCTCCTGTCTGTTGCTAACTGCCCCTCTGGTTTAACTAAAGAATGAGGTCAGCAGAAGGCAAACAACTGCAGGAAAAGAGAAGAAAGTCTTTTTCCTGTCCCCAAATCCCTATATAATTACTCACAGTATCCTGGGGCTATTTGCAGCTTTAACATGCAGCCCTGGCATCTCCAAACTGCCTATTACAGCCATCATCACAACGCAGTAAACAGCACAGAGTGGAAAAAGCTCCCGAGTTTATTTTCAGCAGCTTTTTCTTCTTCCCAGGACAATCATCCCCAAACACTAAACAGTGAGTACATTTGCAGGAAAAAAAATGGCCATTTTCTGGGATAAGTGTGAGATTCTTAAATTGACGTACTATTTTTGGCTCCTCAGAAGCAGCAAAATGAGTCAGGATTGGCTGCAGTGCTTACTAAATTTAATCAAAGAGCTATATGGAAAGCAGCATTATTCTACAAATATCTGGGTTAGATAAAAGCTATTTTGTCCAAAATGCATTAAACTGAGATCCAAAGCCCAAGACTAATGTAGAAGTATTAGACATGAAGAAGATATATAAATCTGACATTGGTTGCAAAAACCAAGGCTCAACATTGCAGGACAAGTTAAAATAAAGAACCACAACCAGAGGTGGTATTCAGCCGGTTCGGACCATTTCAGGTGAACCTCTAGGGGAAATTTTAAGGACAACCGGCAAATACCACCTCTGGTTGGCCCCGCCCTCCTGCCCCTATCATTCCCTGTCCTATATTCCCTTGTTTTTTAGCTCAGCTGATTCGTGCAGTAGAGTGGATTGCTGCGTCTCAGCTGAGCTAAAAAACAGCTCAGCTTACCAGTGCCGACATCGAGGGCGGTCTTTGAGTGCTCACGTGTGTGCATGTGCAAAATGCTCTCTCATGGAACTGGTAGGAAAAGATTTAGAATCCCACCACTGAATAAGATGCATGAAATTAAATGATATATTTTAGACATAGCGCAACGGTTGAGGTCTTTTGGGGCTTTTGAGTCAAGCTGTGGTTTCCCCAACACTGTCAAATAAAACAAGCTTTGGAAATCAAATGAATGTTTAGAGAAACTGTGACTTGCCACAGAACCTTATGGAGAAATTCTCTTGATTATGCAATTCATTGACTTCCCTGAATTGAGGCATATTATTTAAAGAAATGGCCATTCTTCTACATCCTCAAACATTTTCCATCATTGTTTGGCATAGGTTTTGGACAACAGATCTGTACAAGAATACATTCTTTTTATTTTATTTATTTTTATGTGTTAAGAAAATTTATATGGCTGCCCAACTACTCATGGTGACTCCAGGTGGCTTACAGATGTAAATTTATGTTTATATACTTCTTATTTATGAACATTATTGGGGAAAAGAACTGACACCATCATTAAGTGTTAGAGAAGACTTCAGTGATGCATTTCTAAAGGCAAGATTTTAAATGACCTATTTCTAGAAATAAGATTTTAAATACTTTTTAATTATTGATGGACAAAACTAAATCATTAGCCAAATGGAAACTGACAGATATAAAGCTCAGGAACTGAGACCTAAGATTCCTTTCAAAGACAACAATTTTTATACTATTTGGGAATAATTTTTGATTCCATTAAAATACTTTGAAGAGAATTTTCACTTCATTAAGTTTTTAGTACTTGCAGCAGCTCCATACCTAATTGGTTATAGCCTAATTGGTTAGGCTGTACATTTTTAACATGTGTAATAATTGATTTAAATTAATTTTTGATGTCTCCTGAAAATAGATAATCCTTGTCCAATCTAATTTGCATTTC